TGTTATGTATACACAGGTGTGGCATGTGCAGCTGTTACTACAAACATGCTGTAAATTATACATTTATGTTATGTATACACAGGTGTGGCATGTGCAGCTGTTACTACAAACATGCTGTAAATTATACATTTATGTTATGTATACACAGGTGTGGCATGTGCAGCTGTTACTACAAACATGCTGTAAATTATACATTTCTGTTATATTTACACACTGTGATATTTGCACCTATTATTACAAACATGCAATAAATTATACATTTCTGTTATATTTGCTATAATTTTTCAAGAAAAAGCGTTGGTCAAGAAATATATTGGACCTTTTCATGCCCAAATATCAAAAAAAAACTGTAAATTTAAATGCCAAATACAAAAACTATCCAATGAATTTGAAGGATTGCTTGATTATTTTATAATGGGTGAGTTATTAATATTAAAATCTTAGCAGAAGTAACTTAATGAGTTTCCAAGCTATATAACAAACTTCAAAATACATCTTAGTTAAAATAGTAAATATATTGATATACGTTTTAGGGATACAGCGAAATTCAACATCGACTAGTCCTGTCAGTAGTTCGATACTTGATTAAGCAGTATTTTAGGCTTAATGAAATACTGAGCATGAACTGAAATAGAATATGTTCAAACGAATAGAAGATAGTACTAAGTTCTCCAAAATTCGTAAGTGAACATGTCACTAACGTGTCGAAATGTAAATACACAGACGATTATATGTGATTGTGCATTATCCTCCTAACAGCCCAAATCTGGATAAGAATTACGATTAGTCATATTTATCAACTTCAAACCCCACGTTTGTTTGTTCATGAATTTTGCGAGAAGCTACTCGAGAGCTATCTTCGCCAGCCATCTCTAATTCAATCGGAAATGTGTTCTTCTTCTCCACGACAATGCACGTCTACATGTGGCACGTTTGACGCAACACAAGATTATGGGGTTAGGTTGGGAAGTTCTCCCCCACCCACCATATTTTCCAGATATGGCACCATCAGATTACCATCTTTTTTCGTTCGCTGCAACACCATCTTAATGGTAAAACGTAAGTAAATGTGGAAGGTGTTAAAGAAGACATCGACGTGTTTTTTGCTTCAAAGCCAAGTGATTTCTTTAATCAGGGCATTAAGAACCT